AGCAGCAGCCAAATCAGCAGCAGCAACCGCAGCAGCATCAACAGCAGCAGCAGCAACCGCAGCAGCAGCAGAACAGCAACAGCAACAGCAGCAGCAGCAGCAGCAGCAGCAGCAGCGGACTTGAGACTCTTGAGCTGCTGCTGCTGCTTCCTCTTTGTCTGCTGCTTCTTCATCTTTTTTTGCTTTTTTGTTTTCGTTTTCTTTCAAAACCTTTTTTAGGGTTTCCTTAACTGCTGCCACGTCCACGTAGCGAGAAGTCAAAGACAGCCGCAGCTCCTGTGCAGCCAACTGCAGCAGCAGCAGCAGCAGCAGCAGCAGCAGCAGCAGCAGCGGGGGCAGTGGAGGCAAATGGACCAGTGCAGCAACGTGCAGCAGCAACAGCAGCAGCAGCAACCACAGCAGCAGCAGCAGCAGCAGCAGCAGCAACCACAGCGCAGCAGCAACAACGGATGGTGCAGCAGCCAGCGACACAAGCATAAGCAGCGTAGCAACAGGAACAGCAGCAGCAACAGCAGCAGCAGCAGCAGCAGCAGCAGCAGCAGCACAATTTTCCTCACAGTTTGCGGGGCCTCCACAAGACTCATTCCATTTGTCTCTCCAGACCCTCGAGGGTCAAATAGCCGAGACACAAACGCTGCAGCAGCAGCAGCAGCAGCAGCAGCAGCAGCAGCAGCAGCACAGGCTGTGTGAGTGCTTGGCAGCTGCAGCAGGAAGGCCAGCAGCAACACCAGCAACAGCAGCAGGGGCAACGCAACAGCAGCAGCAGCAGCAGCAAGACCTGGGCTAGTCGCTGCAGCCCTTCAGCAACAGAAACCATCACTGCAGCAGCAACAGCAGCAACAGCAGCAACAGCAGCAGCAGCAGCAGCAGCAGCAGCAGCAGCAGCAGCAAACCGCCGTTGTTTGGAGCAGCAGCAGAATCTTCTTCTAATCCAAATGCCTCATCAGATGCTTCAAACCCTCCGTCGTCTTGGTAGCCCATTGCAGCACCTCCTGCATTGCAAACCCTAAACCCTAAACCCTAAACCCTAAACCCTAAACCCTTATGCCTAAACCCTTGATTTCCACCACCAGCCCCTCACACCGACGTTGCAGCCCACCCCTCCAAACCCTAAACCCCAAACCCCAAACCCTAAACCCTAAACCCTAAACCCCAAACCCTAAACCCTAAACCCTAAACCCTAAACCCTCCTGGGGCTTGCTGCGCGTCAACGAGGCTGGGGGTTTGCGGCCCCGCAGCAGCAAATTGGATTTGTTTAAAAGCAAGAAGAGATAAAGAAACCATTTGCTGCGGCGAAGCAGCAAAAGGGCTGCTGGTCATGTCCCACTGCACGCAAACCCTAAACCCTAAACCCTAAACCCTAAACCCTAAACCCTAAACCCTAAACCCGAAAGTCTAGAGCATGAGCGGCAGCTCTGCGTTGCAGTCAATGCAGCAGCCTCGCTATTTATTCATTAGTTGCAAAATGAACTCCGCTAAGTAACAAGCTGCAAACCCTAAACCCTAAACCCTAAACCCTAAACCCTAAACCCTAAACCCTACCGCGACGAAGATGTTGTCGATCGGCTTTGGGGCCGCTGCAGCAGACACACGAGAACATAGAGCTGCGATGGCTTTGAATATGCCCTGCTCCAAACCCTAAACCCTAAACCCTAGAATCCAAACCCTAAACCCTAAACCCTAAACCCTAAACCCTAAACCCTAAACCCTTACGCGGGTTGCATCTCTCCGCCTTGAGAAGGGGGTGGAGGTTTAGGGGTTTATTTAGATTTGTCATATCGACAAGAAAAGGGTCGAGGGCAGCAAGAAGCTGCTGCGATTTTCCTGCTGCTGCTGCTGCTGCTGCTGGGTCTGCTGCTGCTGCTGCTGCTGCTGCTGCTGCTGCAGTGCGGCGAACGGGACCCTTCCTAAACCCTAAACCCTCGATTGATAAAACAGATGAAGTTAATAAACGATTAAACCCTTTCAAAGCCTCCCATTCCTTTTCTGCTGCAGTTGCTGTCAGCAAAGAGTAGTTCGCCGTGCCTGCAAACCCTAAACCCTAAACCCTAAACCCTAAATCCCAAACCCCAAACCCTAAACCCTAAACCCCAAACCCTAAACCCCAAACCCTGACTCCATCTGACTAAGGCTGATGGCTTGTCAGTTAGTTGCACCTCGAACTAATTCGGAAGGCCTAAACCCTAAACCCTAAACCCTGCGCTAAATTCTAAACCCTAAACCCTAAACCCTAAACCCTCAGGTGATGCCCCACCGATATCATCCTCCGGCCTCGAATATTCATCAGCAGCAAAATCCATCGCTGCAGTGTCTAGATAATTGTACAAATCTTCTTGCTGCTGCTGCTGCTGCTGGTCTTGCCCCGTGGGGTTTAGCTGCTGCTGCTGCTGCTGCTGCTGCTGCTGCTGCTCCCAGGCGTTTGCTGCTTCATTTGCTGCTGCTTCCTCCATTTCAAACCCTAGCAGCAAATCATCGCCACCTTCTTCAGGTTCCTCTGCGCCCTCAACTCCTAAACCCTAAAGCAGCAGCAGCAGCAGCAGCAGCAGCAGCAAAGAAAGCAGCAGCAAATGCAGCAGCAGCAGCAAACACAGCAGCAGCAAACAGAGCAGCAGCAAAATCAACAGCAGCACCTGCATGAAAAATACGCACTGTGCAATCGGCACTGACAGATGTAGTGCCTAAATTCTAAACCCTAAACCCTAAGCCCTAAACCCTAAACCCTAAACCCTAAACCCTAAACCCTACTTCAGGAACGCTCCCATTCGTTTCTTCTGCTTCAGGCAGCTGTCCTTCAACTGCATTTCTCAGTCTGCAGACACAAGCCGTAAACCCTAAGCCCTTATTCCTTAAACCCTAAACCCTAAACCCTAAACCCTAAACCCTAAACCCTAAACCCTAAACCCTAAACCCTAAACCCTAAACCCTTCCTTCGGAATACGAAATCTCTTGCGTGGAGAATAGACACCTGTGGTTACTGGAAGGCCAGGGTAACAGGGACACAAAAGATCGAGGGTTTAAGGACTAGGGTTTGGGGTTTAGGGTTAGGGTTTAGGGCTTAGGGTTTAGGGTTTAGGGTTTAGGGTTTAGGGTTTAGACTGACTCCTCGACTTGCTGGGTAAAGTGGCGAATGGCTTCGCTGCAGATTGAAGTGTCTAATGGGCGGTTTGATCCCCCGACCACCAAGTCTGCACAAACCCTAAACACTAAACCCTAAACCCTAAACCCTAAACCCTAAACCCTAAACCCTTAGCCCCGGACCCCAAACCCTTAAGCCGAGACGTTGGAGGTGCATTCGTAGGAAAGCGCAAGCAGCAGCAGCAGCAGCAGCAGCAGCAGCAGCAGCAGCAGCAGCAGCAGCAGTAACCGCAGCAGTAATAACAGGAACAAATGGAGCAGCAACAGCAGCAGGAACAGCAGCAGGAACAACAGCAGGAACAACAGAAGCCGCAGCTGCAGCGGACAAAGCGGCTGCAGCAGCAGCAGCAGCAGCAGCAGCAGCAGCAGCAGTAACAGCAGCAGCAGCAGCAACAGCAACAGCAGTAGCAGCAGCAGCAGCAACAGCAGCAGCAGCAGCAGCAGCAACAGCAGCAGTGTCAGCAGCAGCAGCAGCAGTAGCGTCAGCAGCAGCAGCCCCGCGAGTGCACCTATGAGGACGTTGGGGTCGAGGCTGCAGCGGTCTGCTGCTGCTGCTGCTGCTGTTGCTGCTGCTGCTGCTGCTGCTTCCGGAAATGCTGCTGCTTCTCCATAAAGCCGCAGCGAAAGAGATCCATCAATTTGGATGTTCTGCAGCAGCAAACCCTCAGCTCCTGCTTGGTCAAACAAACTCGCCATTTTCCTGCGCGCCAAACCCTAAACCCTAAACCCTAAACCCTAAACCCTAAACCCTAAACCCTAAACCCTAATCGTTAAACCCTAGACCCTCGGCCCTACGTGCGATCAAACCCTGACAAACACTATTAAGCCCTCATAAACCCTCACAAACGAAAGCAAACCCTGACGTGTCTTCGTAAACCCTAAACCCTAAACCCTAAACCCAAACCCTTACCCCTTAAGGTAAACCCTAAACCCTAAACCCTAAACCCTAAACCCTATGCCTGTCTTGAGGCACTGAAAGACCGGCTGGGAGAGCTGCTTGAGTGCAGGGTTTAGTGTTTAGCGTTTGCTGGAAGTTCAACGCTCAGGGCTCAGGGTTTAGGGTTTAGGGTTTAGGGTTTAGGGTTTAGGGGTGAGGGCCTTAGGATGCGGCTGAAGCACACACTATTGACAAGCGTATAAGCTCTAGGGTCTAGGGTTTCGGGTTTACGGCCTAGGGTTTAGGGTTTAGGGTTTAGGGTTTAGGGTTTAGGGTTTAGGGTTTAGGGTTTACACGAAGAAGGGGTCAATGAGGACTCCCGTGTCTTGCTGCTCGTTAAGAATGTCTTGAGGGTCTGCCAAAGTGCTGCTGCCGCCTTTGGAGAACAGCGCCAGCTGCTGCTGCTGCTGCCGCTGCTTCCGTTTGCTGCCTTGCTGCTGCTGCTGCTGCTGCTGCTGCTGCTGCTCCTCGTCGTCTTCCACGCCGTTGCTGCTGTTCTTCAGGCTCGACAAACCATTCAGCAGCTGCAAACCACAAAACAGGGTTTAGGGTTTAGGGTTTAGGGTTTAGGGTTTAGCGTTTAGGGTTTAGGGTTTAGGGTTTGCCGCTCGGGAAACAAGCGGCCAGCCAGCCACTCAGCAAGTCTACCAGCTAGCTAGCTAGCTAGCTAAAAGGTTAGCTAGCTAGCTAGCTAACTAAAACGCCAGCTAGCTAGCTAGCTAGCTAGCTACCTAGTTAGCTAGCTAGCCAGCTAGCTAGCTAAAAGGTTTGCTAGCTCGCTAGCTAACTAAAAACTTAGCTAGCAAGCTAGCTAGCTAGCTAGCTAGTTAGCTAGCTAGCCAGCTAGCTAGCTAACTAGGGATGCTGCACAATCATGCGGAGCTTATATGGCTAGCTGGCTAGCTAGCCAGCTGGACAAATAGTTAGG